CGGGTGTGAGTGTCACTGAGGGCTGTGAACGGCAAGGGACCAGCAGTCCATCGGATTAAGTACTTAAGCTGCTGGGCAAAGAATTGGGTCAGCGGTAGTCACAGGGCAGCGTGGGCAAAGGGAATCCACAGAGCCAGGCATGGCCCTTGATTTTAGAGCCCGGCGTGGGGTTTCTTCCAGCTCTGCACAGGACAAACAGTGGGCGTGAAAAAAGCCTCATTGGTGGGACTATGGAAAGAGAAGTAAACTCAGGTGTCAAGCTGTCGAGGGCCCCGGATTTTTGATCCCAGCTTGCCTGTGACTGGAGGCCACATCCTCAATGCTTCTTTGGCCTTGACTTCACAACTGGACTGAGATCAGAACCCATCTACTGGAGGGGCAGGTGGTATTGGGGCATAGAAACCAGACAGACCTGGGTCTGAATCTCCTTCCACCACCCATTTGTAGGCTGCGTGATTTGGGCAACCTCTTTCTCCGAGGCTGTGATTCTTTAAGATAATATCAGCAACACCTATTTATCAGCATGACTATGTTAGGTCAACATTACATAGATAAAGCACCTGGTAGCCAGCTCACACTAGGTGCCAATAATGATCCTGGGAGGAATTTAATGTTGTGGGACCTGTTGTATGCTTTGCATTGCTGGAGTAAAACGCTTGCTGAAGTCTACCGCCATGCCACCCTGAACAAGCCCGATCCCATCTGATCTCGGAAGCTAAGCAGGGTGGGGGCTGGTTAATACTTGGATAGTTGACCACTTAGGAAGACCAGATGCTGTAGGTATAAAAAATAAATTAAAAAATAAGAGATTGTAAGCTGACAAGCTCCTTGCAATCTGTAGGTCAACCAAGGGTTGCCTTGCCTAAAACTAAACGACAACAACCAAAAAAAAAGACGCTTGCCCAAAATAGAGATGTGACTTACTGTGGATGACAAAATTTTAAATTCGTTTATCTGAAAATAAAACGAAACAAAAAGTGCAAAAAGAGCTACCCTACCTTTTAGACTTGGTGGCAATGCCCTGAAAACTTTGGGATTCAAGCTGAGGGATGGTTTCCCACGTGGCTCCAGAATTCACTCCCCAGCTCCTCCTGCCTTACACGCGCCCACCGCCATTCCCCGGCGTAGCACCGTCTGGATGTACAGCAGGTGCTCAGTCCTGCGTATGCACATGAGGTGAAGGAGTGGAATGGAACTTCTCTTTTCAGATCTGTATGTGACCGGGCCGTACAGCAGGTGCTCAGTCCTGCGTATGCACGTGAGGTGAAGGAGTGGAACTTCTCTTTTCAGATCTGTATGTGACCGGGCGCTCGCTGTTTTTATTTCAGATCTTCCCCGACCCGTCAGATTTTGACCGCTGCTGCAAACTGAAGGACCGCCTGCCCTCCATAGTGGTGGAGCCCACAGAGGGGGAGGTGGAGAGTGGGGAGCTCCGATGGCCGCCTGAGGAGTTCTTGGTCCAGGAGGATGAGCAGGACAACTGTGAAGAGACAGTGAACGAGAATAAGGAGCAGTAGAGTTCCCGCCGGCTGCCGCGGGGTCACACCCGACAGCATCTGTACCTGAACTGTGTTCTTTCCCATTGTGATGGAAGAAGAGAGTGAGCCACAATCGTTCTGAAACTTCAGACGATGGCTTCCGTTTTGCACCTGAAAATCACTGAGTTGGTCTTCTTTTCTTTTCTTTTCTTTTTTTGAACTGTGTCCGGCAGTGGAGCCCTCTGCGACACTTTGCAAGGCCTGAGAAAGGAAGCTGCTTAGAGCAGGGGTGGGGGGTGCGGGGAAGCTGTGTGACTTCGAGATCATTATCGGAACTCAAGCAGCTAGAGGCAGTGGTGGGATTCTGGGGGGCGGGGGGATCAGGGAGATGTGCACAGCGAACAAAGAACATTTGGTATACGAAAACAAACATGAGACAAAAGAGAAAATACACTTTTTAAAGAAAACAGAGAAGTCCAGCCAGGAAGTACTATTCAGTGAGCATTTACCCTGGCTGCTGGGGCATCGGACGACCAAGTCTTCATCTCTCTCTCCAGCTTCGCCCACTGCTAGCCTTTGCTTTTATTTCAGGTTTGTTGTCTATTACAGGGGAGGCAGGTAAAGGAGAGCAGGAGAACCTGGCTGCCTGCAAAGCCAGCTGGAGGAGATGGGAAAGAAAAAGGTCTCCCATTCCTTCTCTGTGGACCCTCTGCTCCTGGCTGTGGCAGGTTCACGTACCAGCAGTAATCTGGAGGTTTGTTTGTTTTTTTTAAGAGACAGGGCTATTGAGCTCCAATTTTCCCTTTTTGCCCCCCAGCCCTTTTAGGAATAGTGAGAGTACTTCCTGCCCTTGTTGGAGGACCCAAGTGGATGCTTGGACACGAAGGTCCCTCCGGAACTGCTCCCCTGGGACTTAGTGTGAGCAGAGTGGGTGGACTCTCCCAGGCTGGCCCTTCCTTCTCTCCACCACCCTGCCCAGCCCTGCTGTGGGCTCTAGCCTGACCAGCCGCAGTTCCCACTCCCATTTGGGCTCTTGGCCTATTTTTCTGGTAGAATCTGAGTGGAGAGCAGAGGCTTTTTCTGTTTCTTGTTGGAGAGGTGAGCTTTAGTGCAGGTCTCAAGAGCTGCAAAGCCTGGGAATTATTGGATGAAGCTGAGGGGGCTCTCATGCAACAGCCTGGAGATCGAGTGTGAAACTAAAGGCCGTCATGAGATCCCTGGCTTCCCCCCATGTGTCACTGAATGCAGGGGGGAGGACAATGTAGTGAGGGAGCATGGAACGGTGATTCTCACCCCTCCCCTCCCACCTCTCACCTGTCCCCAGTAAGGGCACAGTTGCAGGAGAAAAGTTAGCCTTGGACTTTGACCTTCTTGTCACAGTTCAGAACCGCCAGGAACAGCAGATTGTGGGACAAACTTTTCAAACCATCTCTTTCTCTATCTTGGAGGACTGTGCCTCCAAGAGGTGGGCTCGAGAGCCTCCCTGGGGCCGGACTTGGCCAGCTGAGGCACCCACGTGTCCCTTCAGATTTCCAGTCAGTCCAGGTTGACCCCGGTTTTGAACTTGCATGTAGTGTTGTATTTAATACCTCAAGGTTAGTGTGATTCTGGGGAATGTTGAGCAGGAGAACCAGAGTGTGCTGTTGACACATCAGCAGGATTTGGTTCTGGAAGCTGACGCTCCTCCTCCCCCACTGCTCCCTTCCTCTGTGTCGTCCGCTTGTGTTATACACACCGATGGCAATAACTTCTTCCAGCTCCTCGAGGAAGTGGGAGAGGCCTGCAGCCTGCTCTGCTGGGTATTTCACTCTCTTGCTCCCCGCTTTCCTTCTGTGTTGGCTGCGGAGAGCCTTTCCCCCTGACTCTCATTCCCTCACAGCAGCATTTCTCATCCTGTGCCTCCCTTGTGGATGGGGTCTTGCCTTTTAAAGTCCCATGTTTCTGTGTCCCCCTCTCATCTGCTCCCCTGTGTCATCTGTCCGTGTGATGGGAACGTGCTTGTAAACTGCATAACAGATCTACTTTGTGTATACGTGTGTTTTTCGGGGTGGTTTATTATTTTTGCTGGTCGCTAGACCCCTTTGTATGATCATTTGGAGTCTGAGCAGGCCAGAGGCTGACAGCTAAAGTCAGGACCCTGTTGGGGGGACCCAGCTGCTCTTGGACAAGTGGCTGAGCTCCTGTCTGGCCTCCCCCTTTTTTTTTTTTTTTAAGTATCTTGTGTGTATTTCTAACTGATCGTATTGGAAAAAAACCCTAGTATTTCAGTAAAAATGCCTGTTGTAAGATGAACCTCCTGTAACTATCTGTTCTTTTTTGAGGCTCAGGGAGAAACTAGCATTTTTTTTTTTCCAAACTACTTTTTGTCACTGTGACAGTTGTAAATAAAGTTTGAAAATGCTTTCCACTCTGGTCTGGTTTCCTTCTTCTTGCTCCGTTGGAATGGAGAGAACACAAAGGAAACTAAGGTGTGACTGTCGTAGGAAGTTGGGTTGCGGGGAGGCTCCTGTGAGGTTCCTTACATACCTTACCTGCTGGCCCTTCTGGGGGGAGCTGATCCATTTTTTTTTAATCGCTTGGCTGAATGAAAGCAGCCTTTTCTTCTATGTCAGTGGTTATCAACTGTGGATACACATCAGAATCACCAAGAGAGCTTTAAAAAAATACACAAATAATTTGGGTCCTATACCCCACGAATTAGATTTCGATAAGTGGGGTGAGGTCAAAGCATTAGTATTTTTTGGAATCACTGGGGGAGATTTTAACACGTAGCCATGATTTTAAACCATCTTTCTAAGGGAAGAGAAATACCCAAGATATATTCAAGTTCAATCACAAAGACAAGAGGTGAATGGAAGGGTGTATATGTAGCGAAAGAGAGCTCCAGCACCCATTCGCACCATTTACTGAGTGCCTACCTTTTATCAGGCTTTGTTAAAAAGATTGGGGTAAACAAAATAGCAGTGGTCCTAACCCTCAATGCACTGTTTTAGTGTAAAATTAAATTACAAATATGGTGAGTCAAAGGTAGGAAAAAGGAAAAATAGTGTGCTCTGAGAATAGCTGTTGGAGTGAGTCAGGAAGAGCATCTGAAGAAGTGACAAGGAGCAGGAGAAGAGGGGTGAGGTGTATGGAGAGAGTGCTTCTGGCAGACAGACGGCTTGGGTTGAGTTTGACCAGTGGGGGTGGGGAAGAAGAAATAATGCAAAGAGGGCTGCTTAGGCCTTGGTGAAGAGTGAGTTGGATTTTATTAGAAATGCAGGGTTTAGAATGATATTTACATCTTCATACAATCTGGCTCTATGGAGATGGACTTGGAGGGGGCAAGGTGGAAGGCCTAGAGACCCAGAAGGGGCCTTCAAGGTCAGAGCGAGAGAAAGTGTTGCTTTGTGGAGAGGCTTTTGAACATTTTCTTAATCTGAGGCTGGATGTTTTTGCCTTCATTCAGCTCACATCTGGGCTTGTCATCATCGTGAATATAGAAAGTCAAGTGATCTGTGCTGAGAGTATCCTCAATATTAATAAAATATCCATACATTTTAACACTAGCCTAAGTAAAACCACTAGATCTATTATGGATCTGCTGCCTTGAGGATAGCTTGCAGGCCTTGACCATCCTCATTTTGGATTGTTCCTCTATTTTTTTTTCAACAGCCTTAGAATGGAATTTATTAGAACACGGTGTCCTTGAATATAGCCCCTCAGAAAATTGTCTTTGTTAACAGATAACATCATCTATGTAGAAAATCCTATGACATCTATCCAAAAAAGCTACTAGAACTGATGTGTGAGTTTGGTATGGTTGCAGGATCTAAGATTGATATACAAAAACTGACTATGTAGTATTTCTATGTAGTAGCAATAAATAATTGGAAATTAAAGATTGAAATACCATGTACAATAGCATCAAAAATAGAAATTGTTTAGGTATAAATCTGACAAAAGACATGCAAAATCTTTTCAGTGAAAACTACAAAACGTTACTGAGAGAAATTAAATAAGACCTACATTAACAGAGGTATACCATGTTCATGAAACTGAAGACACAATGTTAAAATGTCAGTTCTCCAATTGGTCTATAGATTCAACGCAATTAAAATCCCAGAAAGCATTTTTGTAGAAATTGACAATTTGATTCTGAAATTCATATGGAAATGCAAAGAACCTAAAATAGTCAAACAACTTTCAAAAAGAAAAAGAACTCAATTTCAAACTATTTCAAAGCTATAGTAATCAAGATAGTGTAGTATTGAGATAGACAAATAGACCCATAGAACAGAACAGAAAGTCTAAAAATAAATCCACACATATAAGATCAATTGATTTTTGATAAAGGTGCAAAGGACCTCAGTGGTGAAAGGATATTTTTTTCAACAAATGGTTCTGGAACAATTGTGTCTCCATATGCAAATAGACCCTGGAGATGGAAACATGAGTCTTCACTCTGTCTCTCATTGTTTCCAGGTGATTTTCTAAATAAAATAATTATTTATTTAGAAAAAAATTTTCTTTTTCCTTATTGGCCAATTGCTTCAATACAGTTCCAATCCCCAGATCATCTCCTCTCTCCCTAAAGGAAGAGCACTGAATGGCAACTGGTGAACTTTACTGTGTTGTTCAGGTTGATTACATTCAAGTCCTGCTCTGCCACTCTTTACATGACTTGGGGCCACTTTCTTAACGTCAAATATCCTCAGTGTTCCCTGTGAAATAGAGATAAGATTAGTACCTCTTGCACAGGAAGATTGAGCACTTAGGAGATGATCCACAAGTCAGGGTTTTTTCTCTTTCACTTGAAGACCTGGTGTATATGAAACTAGCTCCTACCCTCTCTTTCGCTTTTTGCTCTGGGTCCTTTGTGCACACCAGATTCAAGGGGACCTTCAAGGTAAAGACACCTCCCTGTCTGCAAACACAACTCCTTTAGTCTGTCCATTTTGTTCATCGCTGTGAGCGATTGGAGGGTGGAAAGTAGAGACAAGGGGGGAATTTTAATGCCTTCTGCCCACCAAAATATTGGAGAGCAAAAGAGAAAATATCTCCCAAGGTGGGCCTGATCCTTGGGCAGAGACCTGTTTGAAGTAATGGTTGAGCTTTGTGTAGACTGAGAGATTTCAGGCAAGGGTGACACCCATTGCAAAGGCTCTGCAGTAGAAATTGACTTGACCTTTTTGAGCAATATCAGCGAAATTGGCATGGCTGGAGTAAAAAAAAAAGAGGAGTAGCTGGTCAGATACCACAGAGAATCATGACTGCCCGTTGTGAGAAGCCCTCTGGGAAGGAAGCAGCTCATCAGGCATCCCAGGCCCTGGAAGTCTGCTGGTCAGTCTATCCAAAGTTGTCTGACTCATGAAAAATGACAGTCACTATCACATCCTGAAGGGGCTCTGGGTCATTGAAGGAGGATTAAATCAAGTAGAGTTCAGTTTATACATCTGTCCTCAAATTACTGAGGGGTAGTTGTGGCTAAGAGAATGGGCTCTGAGATCAGACTCCTAGATCTGTAGCTCAGTCCTTCCCCTTACTAACTGTGTGCAAGTTACTTAGGAAAGTTACTTTTCTTCTTTGTGTCTTACTTTCCTCATCTGTAAAATGGGCACCTACCTCATAGACTTGTGGTGAGCTTTCAATGCATTATTACAAGTAACATGCTTAGGACTGTACTAGGCACATAGTAAGTGCTCAAGAAATGTTAGCCATTGTGATAGGCAAAATAATGCTCCCCACTCCCAAAGATCCCCACCTCCTAATCTCAGGAAGCTGTGAATATGTTCTGTTATATGGCAAGTGGGAATTAAGGTCGTAGGTGGAATTAATGCTGCTAATCAGCTAACCTTGGCTTGGGGAGGAGGAGCCTGGATTCCCCGGGTGAGCCAATCTAATCACAGGCATCCTTATAATGAAAAGGAGATGCAGAAGAGTGAGTGTCAGAGTCAGAAAGATTGGAAGATGAATGCTGCTGGCTTTGAAGATAGAAGGAGCTACCCGCCAAGAAATGCAGGCACCTCTAGAAGCTGGAAAAGGCAAGGAACCAATTCTCTCTAAAGCCTGCGAACACCTTGATTTTAGCGCTGTGACACCCATTTTGAACTTTTGACTTTGAGAACAGTAACATAATGAATTTGTATTGTTTTAAGACACTAAATTTATGGTAATTTGTTACAGACACAATAGAAACTGAATGCAGCCATTGTTATCATAACTATGATGATGATGATGATGATGATGATGATGATCTAGACCTTTCCTGCGTGGCTTCAGAGAGCAGGGTGACAACGAATGGGAGGGGATCCAGGCAGTCAGAGGCCACTTTCCTGCAGCTGGGTCCCACACCTTCCTAAGGCTCACCATCTTCTCTGGGTGTCACTAGACAGAGGTATCTGTCAGACGGAGGGAGCATTACTGCACTGGGACAAGATAAATTTGAGACTTTAAAGCCTCTATTCTAGAATTTTGAAAATTAGTAATTAATGTGGATGGACCATTCACCAGGATGGTCTATGAATCAGAATATTCCTCAGAATCCTCCCTTCTCTCCATTTACTTTGATAGAAAGTCCTACTTTGAAATGCAATTCATTTACGATACTTTTGTTGCCATTTCCAATTTAAAAAAAACTTGGACTTACTCTTTTCGAATATTAGCTACCATTTACAGAGCACTGGGCTATAGGTTTACCTTCATTTTTTCTAGTTCATAACAGTTTTGCAAAGTGTGAATTTTCATGTATAGAATTTTGTTTTTTGTACAAATTACAGTTAGCAATGATGGAAATCATATAAGATAGTGAAACTTGGGGACTTCATCTTTCAAATCTCCCCACAGCAGCAAAATCAATTATTTGCATTTTGTTTCTTCTCAGTCATTGTCTCTCTTAGTTGCCAGACTGTACTCAATGAATATAACTTTTTCCATTAAGTAGGCATTTTAAATGTTATTTTACAGATGAGGAAGCTGAGGTCAGAGGGCTTCAAAATATACCAAAATTCGAACCAGAAAGACCTGGGTTAGAATCGATGGTGTACTGGTAAATGTGTAAGAACTGGCTCTCTCAAGGAGCAAAAGAGAAAAAGTCTTGATTTGTAGCCAGTTTCCATAATATAAATGCTCCCACCATGGCTGATTTCGTGGGCAAGCTACTCAGCCAGTCTGAGCTTTAACTTCCTTTTCTGTGTAGCTCCAAAACCAGAGCAGTACTCAGTTCAGAGGCCTCTGTAAACTCTAGTCCCCTTTCTTCATTCAGAAAAGAGAAATCTTCCAGAAAGTGGTGTCTGGTGCAGTATTTTTCAAACTAAATTGTGAATACTTATTGGGTTGTGAAATTGATTTATTTGTGGGTTGCAACTAGAATTTTTAAAAGTAAGAAAGAAAACAAATAGAAAAGACTAGAATAGGACAGGAAAAAGT